CCCCCATGGAAACCAGCCTAGAGTTGATGGGGCTAGCGTGTTCTTCTTTCTGTTAATTTTAAATAAAGTATTACCTACCTACCTACCTACCTACCTATCTCCTTTTCTTCCGTATACATGTTTTACAGTCGTCACGCCGCCGCTTAAAATTCCCAGGTATGGAATGTACGGTGATATTTTTTCCACTTTTTCAAATAATTCTCGGACTGGTTAATTTCACCCGCGTTCGATAACCGAATTAATTCGGCTCGCGTATCTTCAAATATTTCTTGTTCCGTCCTTTCATGTGTCGTATTCTCTTCTCCCTCCATTTCTACTTGTACTTTATTTCATAACGATACGGAAAAACCATTTCAACTTCAAGATGCGAATACTTATTTTGTTTTAATTCCTCAAAAATTTCGTCACCTAATTTCGTACATTTCGATCGAAGACATTCCCCTAAAATTGTCCTCGAATCATCGGCATCCGAAGTATAGAACGTCACCAATTTTGATACATTCTTACGATATGCCTTGGCGATCGATGTTAGCTGCTGTGTAATCACGATCGTTGATATTCGATCGTGTCTTCCACTAAATCCAAGTCTCACCAATTCCCCCGTACGATCCTTGACGAATTTCGTACTTGCACAATCATCCAGGATAATCAACGTATCTTTTCCCGATGCATAATTCGCGACGTATTTCAACTCGGATTCTACGTCATCCTGACTACATGGAATCACGAAAAAATTAGGATCGTCGAAGATAAAATCTTGGTCGTACGTTTTATTCCGATGGTACGTCGGACAAATTAAAAAGATTTCGGAAAATTTACAAAAATACGTCGTCTTCAATTCTTCGATCAGATAATGTGTTTTCCCACATTTTGTCATTCCCACGATAATCATATTAAACGGTTCCATTTAATTAAAATGGGATGTCTTTCTTCAAAATCCGACGAAACTCGGAAGCGAAATAAAAACCATAAGAGACGAAAAATGTTTAGTTTAGGATTCGGGTTCGATCGTGGGGATGCAACGACAAGCATTCATACACAGATCGGATACGTCAGTACAACAGTTAAAAATTACGATGGAATAAATGAAATTATTCCTGTGAAGAATTCTAATCTGGGCGAGTCTAATCAGTTGTTTTCTGATCCCGATCACGTTCGAACTGTTCCTGATCCTCATAATCCTATTTTAGATGACACAACCATCTAAAATTCTCTATGCCGACGGTGTGTAGACCGGTAATTCCTCTTTCTTTTTCTCACGACACATTTTTATCAGTTTTGTGTCCACGAATATTAAAATGGATAATGCAGACGATGCACAGATGGCACACGTCGCGTATAAAACATCGGCTTCTCTTTCCGTTAATCTTACGTTCGGAATTTCCGTTTCATTTCCACCCATCAATTGCATGGTCGAATAAATAACTGTTGTTGCTGGATTCATTTCTCTTTTATTTTACGAAAAAAAATAAAAGAATTTTTTTTTTTAATCTTCCTCCTCTTCATCACTGTCGCTATCGCTATCGTTGGAAACAATAGGTTTTACACGAACTTCATGTAGTTTTACCTGAACGGTAACCATATCACCACTTGAAAACACACTTTCGATCCTTATAACAACCGAATCTGCCTGAAACGGTCGATCCCTATACTCGCGATGACCAACACGTTCACCGTTCCCATCAAAAAAAGTGTCTCGTCGTCTAATTTCGTGTAAAGGACGGGTTCATCTCCGTTCCTTTAAAGACAAGTCATCGCGTTTCCCTTTTCTCCCTTTATCTTTTTATAGCATTTCTCTCCGATCACATCCAGCACGGATGCGATCTCCTCACCGGTCCGAATCGGTGCACTAAGTTGAACCTTTCCATATTTGTCACTTCTACGAACACCAGGTGAAGAACAGTCGGAAATGCGAAAAAGTAACGTTCTTCCCTCTCGCGTACTAATCATCAATTTTTTACTGTCAAACTTCTCGTAGTGTATATTGTTCGTAAATCCGAACGATCTCTTCGTGAAATTCTTGTGGTCGGTAATCCTTAGGTTATCAAATGTCTTTTGATCCGTCATTCTCTTTTATTCCAGGTTTTTCATTCATATAAATGGATGACGGGGTTCCTTTTTCAACAAGTTTCCTCTTTCACATCGATTCCGACGTTTCCAATATCACACGGAATTATTTTTCAAAAGGAAAAAGAATTTCTCGTAGATATATTGATGACGTCATTAAAAAATAACTCTGAAGGAAAAATCTTTAAAAACACACGGGAGTGTTTTCAAAAGGATCTTTTTTTAAAAATGGTTGAAGAGACTGAAAGGGCTAAAGGGGATAAAGGGGCTAGAGGGGCTGAAGGGGCTGAAGACACTATATTTTGTCTTACATGAAGTATGTGCTCAACACCCTCAATATACACTACTACCATATCACCACTTGAAAACACTTTCGATCCTTATAACAACCGAATCTGCCTGAAACGGTCGATCCCTATATTCACGATGACCAACACGTTCACCGTTCCCATCGAAAAAAAGTGTCTCGTCGTCTAATTTCGTGTAAAGGACGGGTTCATCTCCGTTCCTGGAAAGACACGACATCGCGTTTCCCTTTTCTCCCTTTATCTTTTTATAGCATTTCTCTCCGATCACATCCAGCACGGATGCGATCTCCTCACCGGTCCGAATCGGTGCACTAAGTTGAACCATTCCATATTTGTAACTTCTACGAACACCGGGTGAAGAACAGTCGGAAATGCGAAAAAGTAACGTTCTTCCCTCTCGCGTACTGATCATCAATTTTTTACTGTCAAACTTCTCGTAGTGTATATTGTTCGTAAATCCGAACGATCTCCTCGTCAAATTCTTGTGGTCGGTAATCCTTAGGTTATCAAATGTCTTTTGATCCGTCATTCTCTTTTATTCCAGGTTTTTCATTCATATAAATGGATGACGGGGTTCCTTTTTCAACAAGTTTCCTCTTTCACATCGATTCCGACGTTTCCAATATCACACGGAATTATTTTTCAAAAGGAAAAAGAATTTCTCGTAGATATATTGATGACGTCATTAAAAAATAACTCTGAAGGAAAAATCTTTAAAAACACACGGGAGTGTTTTCAAAAGGATCTTTTTTTAAAAATGGTTGAAGAGACTGAAGGGACTAAAGGGGCTAGAGGGGCTGAAGGGGCTGAAGACACTATATTTTGTCTTACATGAAGTATGTGCTCAACCCCCTCAATATACACTATTGCCGTCTTTATGTTTGTCAGAGTGAAAGGATGCCGACCGATGACCTACCAGCATTTGACAGTCCGTATGTTTGAAAGCGGAAAAAAAAAGGCTGGAATGGTCGATCAAACCATTTTTAAAACGGCACAAAGATATGGGTTCAATTCTCTTTACTTCGACGAGATGAGCTTGGTAATTGTCAATGATTACGTTCAATACGTGCGACCCCTGCTGAAACCATAAAGTGAATATTTGCTAGTAAATCGAAGCGGTAGTCAATTTCAGAAGCTCAGTGAGTTACTTAGCGTTCTCGTGTTTGAAGCGATAAGCAAGTACATTCACCCGACGAGGTACAGGCAGATTATCGAAACGGAGAGCGTAAACAATTTAGATTTGGAAGAACAACAATTGGTATCCGAGGACCAAAAACATAGCTCAAACGTGGCGAGAGTTCACTATCAGAAGCTGCGGTCTCGGGAAGTAGCGTTAAAGGGACGATCATGCATGGAAAAACTGCGCGGGGACCATGGCAGAGCAATGGACATTTGCGTACAGCAATTGAGACAGCAAGATTCCAACGTGGGAATTGAAGTGAAAGACATGGAAACCGAAGGCGATGGTGAGACGGCGTCATCTCATACAAGCGAAGGGGAGATTGAAAACAACGATGAAACGCTACGAAAAAGCAGGGTTAAAGTCAGGTTTACACAAGAGGAGGACAATTATCTTAGAAAAGGGATAGTAAAGTTTGGTATGCGCTGGACTGCAATTTTAAACTGCCCGCTGTACAAGTTTGAACAATCCAGAGCACCGACAACATTACGAATGCGTGCGACAACACTTAAATTAATATAGACTCGAACTGTAGTTGTTAAAATTATATAAACTTATTATTGTTAACAAAACTGTGTATGAAAAAAAATTCAACAGCTTGAGTGTATTTGAATGTGTTCTTCTATTAAAAACTTTGCACTTATATGACACTAGTGACATATTGTGTGGAAAATATAAGTTGTGTGACAACATAAATCAGGGGGAAACTTTCATGAAAATACTTCTAGGCAAGCTTTCTGCAAATTAAACAAACACTGTCTTTATACTGATCAAAAACTTCTATTTGTAATACCAAAGAGCAGATGCATGCATATACCCACTAAATATTTTGCAATATACATATTTGTACAAGCATCTATATTTATGTAATAAGAGTATAGTATAATATGTCAGGATATTATCTTGTGCATTTATGAAAACCCTATAGCCGCGTTTAGCTCTGAATGTTAGACAAATTGATATAGCGCGAATAAATATTATTTAAATTATCAACTAATTAAACTATACGAAGTTGTGTGCTCTCGATCGGAACGATTGTTGCTGATGTCGCAACATATAATTGTGAAAGGGGGATTTCCCTTTTTTCATTACAACGATTCGGTCTCCAAGGCGATCCGATATTTACGGAACAAACCGATCCTATTCCAAAGCAGATCCTAAAAATTAAGGGAACCGATGATCCTCATACAATTGTGTGATGACATAAAACAGATCGAACGACATTGTTGAACAATATCAAGCGGACTATTCGTTCGTTTCTATAAAGTAAATTAACTCGTCGTTCTCATTCAACCGTTCCTTCAATATAAAGGAACAAGTGACTGAAGTTCCTATAATTAAAGTGAACAGTTTGTTCTCATTCAACCGTTCCTTAATATAAAGGAACAACTGACTGAACTTCCTATACGTAAAGTGAACAGATTGTTCTCATTCAACCGTTCCTTAATATAAAGGAACAAGTGACTGAAGTTCCTATAATTAAAGTGAACAGTTTGTTCTCATTCAACCGTTCCTTAATATAAAGGAACAACTGACTGAAGTTCCTATACGTAAAGTGAACAGATTGTTCTCATTCAACCGTTCCTTAATATAAAGGAACAACTGACTGAAGTTCCTTTATATAAAGTGAACAGATTGTTCTCATTTAAATGTTCCTTAATTGTAGGAACAAAATGACCGAAGTTCCTTAATACAAGCGGTACATAACGTTCTTATATTACAAGTTCCTAACATCAAAACAAACAGTTCCTTATATTAAAACATAAACACAAAAGTACTTTGTTTTCAAAATACCGTTGCCCTTGTGGCTTGCTTAATGGTGGAAAACACTGCCAGGCGAATTGCTCAAATGACCCCGTCGACAATTTCGTACATAAATACACAACATAGGGCAACAACTGAATAAAGGAAAAGACAATTGAGAACAGAATATAAGGAAATGCTAATAAGGATAAGGAAGATAAGAAGATGAAGATAAGGGTCGATGTAGGGTCGATGTAGGGTCGATGTGAGGTCGATGTGGGGTCGATGTAGGATCGATGTAGGGTTGATGTAGGGCTAGGGGTATAGAAACCATGGCGAATGAACAATTAAGCCAAACGACCCTTATTACAAAAAAACATTTAAATTGTTGTGCGTAATTTAAATAAAATCAAACACATTATGCTCTAAGAAGTAGACCACATTAACTTTGTAAACGTCTCGAAGAAATAAATGTATTTTAAGATTGAATTCTTGTGTAAACTTTTGGCTGCAAAGCGCTCCTGCATTGTCTAAATTGCTTTCTCTCTTCCAAGATAAACCTCATTATTGTTGTGTTTCCAACCCGCACGGATAACCCGCGACGTCCGCGCAACGAATGTCCTAATCTACCCGTATTTATCCACACAGTAGAAAATGCAAATCTCTGATAAAAAGTTAATCCTTTAATTAGTTTCACCCTAACAACACATAGCAACTGGCTTAAATTATATTAACCTTAGTTTATTAACGGCTTAAATTTATTAACCTTATCCGAGCTTTAGTACTTTAAAAACCTAGCACTAAAATATAGAAATCACTTCACAATTATATATCATGACCTCTAACTTCCATGTGTTTATATAACTCTAGACAGCAACATATTCTCTCCCAGACCCCATATGGCAGAACGGGATTTAAATATTAGTTTAATTGATTGAAATTTTACTTGTAATCCATGAATGACTGTTAATGACTTTGGCGTTATACGTTTTAGAGAGCCGCAAACGACAAAACTTATCGATATAGCTGGCATATCATCTGTAATAACTGTCTGTGTGTTAGTATATTTTTCCTATCTCAAGCGCGCTGGGTGAAATAAAAAATTGTATATATCCACACGGGGTGGGCGAGTTGATCACTTTTTAATGACTCCGTAATATGCAAATATTGACCATAACAACGGCGTTGACAACGATTTTAACTTGGGCTTAGCAACTGCTTAGTTCTGTCTAAAAATTTTCATATGTATGTCTAGATTTTTATTATTCCTTATTTAACTGTCATAAACATGGTGAATACATCCCCAGGTAAGACCAAGGATGGTGTTAAAGTAGTGGACACTCTAAGATGATCTAATAAAACCTTGTAATACGATGAATTCAAGTACACCTTTTATACTCTATTTCTACTGTCTTTATGATTTTGGGGAATTTTGAATAAACTGGGATATTCTCTGCAGAATCCCCCCCCCCCCGAGTCTTTGCAAGCTCCTATAAGTCAGGAATTTTCGTAATACCCAATTCTCACTGCACATGCGTACAATATCAACGTCCCACAAGCATTACAACAACTTTAGTAGAATATATATCGAGAATGTGTTAACTGTTCAACACCACTCAGGTTGTTAGAAGGAATAGATATGGAGATAAATATATTAGCAAAGTATTAAAACGTAAAAATTTTCTTAAAACGCTAGTAATCATCGGTCCACCACATTCTTTAAATACATTACAAGCGTGTAATTGGTATGATATGATATACTGATGACGTAATGGGTGGAGCTCTAGTGCTCCACCCTCTCCACCCGCGCCAGAACCCCCCTTCCCTATATTACTTACCACCAAAGCGACTGGAATGGATAAAATTTCAGCTAAAATTCTACAAGTAGTAGCTCCAGTTATTGCACCTTCTCTTACTGAGATTTTTAATATGTCAATTGACTCGGATCAATTTCCTTCTGATTGGAAAGCTGCAAGGGTTATTCCATTGTTTAAGAAAGGTCAGCGGTCCATGTTGGATAACTATAGACCGATATCAATCCTTCCTGTAGTAAGTAAACTTATGGAAAGAATTATGTATGATCAAATGTATGAGTATCTTAAGCAGAATAATCTGTTCTCAAAACACCAATTTCGTTTCAGACCTTATCATTCCACAACTACTACATTATTGGATTGTACGAACGAATGGTATACCAACATGGACCGTGGGCTGTATAACTTAGTTGTTTTTCTTAACCTAAAAAAAGCATTCGATACAGTCGACCACGAAATACTGTTAAGTAAGTTTGAAATGTATGGTTTCCAAAGGAAAGCATTAAATCTTTTACGTTGCTATTTGACGCACCGAACTCAAAGTGGTCAATTGGCCAGTATACTCTCGGTGGAGAAATAAATCATTTGTGGCATTCCTCAGGGAAGTATACTCGGCCCTCTCTTATTTATTATGTATATAAATGATTTGCCAAGCTGCCTAGAACGCACAACTCCAAGAATGTTTGCTGATGATACTAACTTAACGGCAGTAGGCAGAACAATTAGTGAGGCGGAAGAGAAGGCGAGCGTAGACATGAGGAATGTTCAGAAATGGCTTTGTGCAAATAAACTAAGTCTAAATATAGCGAAAACCGAGTATGTTTTAATTGGAACACGACATAAAATAAGTAATATTGATACCCATCAAGGAGTTAAAATAAATAATCAATTGATTAAAAAAGTTAAAAATACCAAAGCTCTTGGAGTTGAATTAGACGAAAACTTGAGTTGGGAAAAACACATTAACCATATTAGCAGTAAAATATCATCAGGTATTGGGGCTATTAGAAAAATGAGGGAGTATGTCGAACAAGACATTTTGATAAAAGTTTATAATGCCTTAATCCAACCTTATTTTGATTATTGCTGTGAAGTATGGGATACACTTAATAAAGGCCTAAGCGAACGTCTACAGAAATTCCAAAACAGAGCGGCTAGGTTGATCGTGAACTTAGAAAATGAACATGGTCAGTCTATTTTGGCACGAAAATCTCTAGGCTGGGTAACACTTGAAGAGCGTAGGGCACAAATGAAAGCCAGGCTTATGTACAAGACAGTTAATGGTTTAGCCCCCCAACGACTATGTGAAGCTTTCCAAAATCTGAATACCATTCATGACCATAATCTGAGAGGTTCTTCAACAAGGTTTTATATCCCAAGAACAAAAACGGAATCCTTAAAAAAAAGCTTCCAATATAGTGGGGCTAAACTATGGAATCAGATACCTAAAGAGATACGCAATTCGGTATCGTATAATTCGTTCTGTAAAAAGCTATCTTCCTCGACCTTAATCTCGACTTAAAGTACTAGTTAATTTTTTGTCTAAATAGGTATATAATTGTATTTGTTATGTATGTAATATTAGAGCTAGTATATAAATAATAATTTGTAAGTACACATCCCTTTTGGAAATCAGCTTTTGCTGAAAAGGCCAATGTGTTTAAATAAAGTTGATCTATCTATCTATCTATTTAAATTTCAAATAGTCCTAGTGATTGTTTCAGAATTTTGTTCTTATACGATGTATACTGTAGAAAAATCTGTGATTCTTTTATTGCATAATGATACTTCGATGCGTATCTACAAGTATTGCTAACTGAACTGAACTGTCAGCTCTTTCTGTACTAATTCTCCTAAATAAAGTCTCACTCTAAACTGTATTCGAGTTGATTATACTTGTCTATATCTGTAAACTGCCTAGGTATAGCGGCAGCAAAACTTGATGTTAGCGCTACTGTACTAACTTACTGGTAATGGCTAGCTTATACAGTATGTTACAGTCAAAATACAAGAACCTTCCCAGTTCCGCAATCTGTTGTAATTTACTGTAAATTGTTCTGTTTTTCTGTAGCGGTTACCAAATTATGAGCAAATATCGTGACAAAATTTAGTTTTCATTTGTATAGCCCCAGCGAGTTTACGCTCTGTAGAGCGTCTTGTCACAAAAGTTTCGCCAAAACAGACCTCATCAGTGTATGCGATTTATAACCTAGCCTATAAATGATTAAGAACATTTACTATTTACTATTTGTTCTATATACCTATAAACTTCAAGTCAGACAAATCATGCGGTGTTTTGTTGAAATGCGTCGCTACTTCACATGTCCTTTTATTGTTAATCATCGTAGATTTGTGGTTACGAAAGCGGACCTTCAGTTCTGTGCTCGTGGATCCAATGTATTGCCGTGAGCACTTAATACATGTAACTAGGTACACAACATTTTGAGAATTGCAACAAATGTTCTGTTTAATTGGGTACTTTACCCCCGTCTGATAATCTTTAGTAATTAGAAACGATTTAATTACTTCGCAATAATAGGCCATATTTTTAAACATCCCTAGAGTATTCTCATTTACTCCTTAATTAGTTCTTAATTATTCATAGGCTAGGTTATAAATCGCATGACTTAACTTCCTTGTGTTTTTAACTTTTTACATTGATGAAGCCTGTTTTGGCGAAATGTTTGTAATAAAACATTATTATTGATCTGTCTGGAGTTCGCCTTTCCTTCTGTATACCTATCTATAATATTTTAAGCGTCGTGTTTCCTTTGGATCCTCCAGACAAGTGACATCAACGTTAGCAAGCCAGACTATATCCATACTATATATATATATATATATACAAATATATACATATATATATATATATATATATATATATATATATATATATATATATATATATATATATATATATATATATATATATATATATATATATGTGTGTACATGTATATGTATACATGTAATACATGCAGTATCTGTCGAAAGTTCAATTAAAGTACATTTCAATCCGGAGAAGTTTAATTAATTATATATATTAAAAAATTGGGCCATTCCAGTTACAATAAAACTACAGAAGTGGAATTTTAAATATGACGGAGCTAATTAAATATGATGTCTATGCTTATGTCTACCTAAAACTTATGAAAAAAATGTTCCATATAACTATGACTCCAAATTCCATCGCAACGAGCGGCAATAGAACATACCAATATATAATGACAGGTATTTTTGACGCTGTCAGTGGTTAACGTACTAAACAAGTGACTACATAGTGTCTTCCGGAAAATTAGAAGTCAGAGAATTAATTATATATGCAACCATTTTTTCCTTAGCATCGAGAATGTTGACACGGTTAGCAATGTCGTTGTCAGAATTAACGAAAATTGATGCTCCTATTGAAGCAGTGTTAATGGCTTCAGACATCGCCGAGAAATTGAGTGAAAGTTGTGAAATATTTTCAAGTAAGTTCAGCATGACAGCAGGATCATCAACTTCTTGGAGCAGGTTTACTTTAGGCATAAAGTACATTGGAAGATTTTGAATTCTCAAAGCTTCTGCTAACTCGTGAAGTAATGTAACAAGATGATGAACTAAAGTTTCTTTAGTCCAAAATTCCATTGAGGTTTTCTCAAAATGCCAAAATGCGATGGTCTTCAAGTAATAACTTGATATAATTCCCTTGACTGGTAGATTCCAGATATTTTGGTGGTATTTAACTACAGCTTTGAAAGCTCTCATTACTTTATGCTGCAGTGGTGAGAGAGTTCGAATCAACATGGTTTCAGCACATGAATACGATAAACGAAAATCGCATGCAGCGGAGCTCTTTGGAACAAGGTGAAATCCACTTTGTGTGATTTTTTCCACGGAATATATATCTGGCCAAAGTCGTTCTCGTGTGATCCATTCTCTTGCACAATTTGGCCATCCTTCGCAGAATATTGACAACACAATGTCACTAGAAGGAAATAATTTATCGAGGACGGCGGCATACACCAATTCATGTAGTGCGTCGAAAGGTCTATTGGTTGGTGGCGTTAAGAAATCCTTTCCCAATTCCGCGAAACACTCGAACGAAGGTTCGGGAGGTTTTGGTTTACGGATGGTCACTGCAGCACCTTCTGCAACCTCTTCCAGCTCCTTCTTCTTTCCTGAAGTATGGAACAGTCCACCAGCTTTTTTGTAGTTTTCTTCTAGCTTTTCTTTCAATTTTTTTGAAGATAATCGACGTTTTCCCGTTTGTTC